GAAATTCAAATACTAAGTAACTACTTCTGACTATAACTCGTTGTTTTAAAATGATCAAAAACATTTATTTTCTAAAATACAATCTAAAAATGTATAATACAGAATAGAAATTTGTACCTTCTCCCTCTTCAAAGATGATATATTACTAATGTCTTATGATCATATGCGAACTACTTTCTTATTATATTTTTACGAGATTAAGTAAAATATTAGTGAAGACATATATTCCAAAATAAATAGAATAAAGCAATCTTCCTATGATCAGTAACAGCAGTTACAATGTGTTTTACATATTAATCCCATCGGAAATGTTCTAACAGCTTTTTTGACAAGAATTTAACTGTTACAAAAATTTCATGATGAAAACTACTGTAATAAATGTAATTAGTTCGAACTGTTAACTTTGAATTTTAATAGACATACAATTGATTCATTTATTGAAAGATTTTAGTTATTTTTCATAGAAAAAAAAATTACACTTTGTAAATCACAAAATTCGTCTAATATATAGTTTCCTTAAATCGATAAAATATTTCTCGATATTTAATTTTATTACAAAGAATTTTTGATTAAATAAATCTTTTAAATATTAAAATAATACTTACATAAGTAAAATCAATATAATCACAATCAACATCAGTATAACCTAAAGTTCCAACTGAATAACTATCTTCACCATTGGTATGATACTAACAAAATAAATAATCATATAATTTATATATATAAATAAATAAAATCTATGTTAACAAACTTTTCCAACACAACGATGAAATAAAATTGTATGAAACATACAAGAAACAACTTCATCTATTTGTCGACCTTCAACAGCAAATTCAAATGTTTGTGATCGTGCATTCATTTTATCTGAAAATAAAAACAAAAAAAGGATACTAACAAAATTTCTTAAAACACAACGAAAAAAAAAAAAAAAACTAATTATGATGAAGATATTGGTAATTTTTTATTTTTTTTTAAAATACAAGCTTCTTCATAAGATGGATGAATTGGTGGTTGTACAGGTTCAATATATGATTGATCTTGTTCTAATGGATATGTTTTATCTGAATCAAAACCATCTAAACTTCCACATGCAATAAATGGAATAATAAATGATAATTTTTCATTTGTATTTAATGTACGTTCATATGTATAAATAAATGGTTCATCTATATTAGGAATAAAATTATTTGGTAAATGAAATTGTCGACAAACAATAAATGATTCAACAGATGAATTTCTTGATGAACGTGGTTTAGCAATAACAACATCATTAAAAAATAATTTTAATTGTTGATAAAGTAAATCAATATTTTTTGTACGAAATATTTTTGATATAAAATTACCATTATCACATAAAACATGAAGACATATATTTAATGCTGCTAAAACAAGATTACCTTGTACAAATTCATCAATATCATGTAAACCTGTTACATCAGGTGCACCATCACATAGAATAAGATCAGCTTTTTTATTTATTTGATTATCAGATGTTTTAAAACAATTAAGAATTTCTTCAATTGTTGAACGTTTTGTTATATCACCTTTTATTTGTTCAACACCAGGTAATGGTGCCATTGTTTGTAAATCAACAGCAACTATTTTAACTTGATCATCAACTACATCAGTTTTATACAATGTTCGAGAAAGAACTTGTGACCAACTTCCTATTCAACAAAAAAAAAAAATAACAAATGAAATATCCAATAGAGAATTCTCTCCTGTATATATTCGATATTGACGGTCAAACAAGAATACAAACAAACGTCCGCGCTGGATTTAAACAAGGAAGAATGTAGTTTTAATGTCTTGTCAATGGCAATTAGTTGGCGATTAGTGATTTTCAATAGTTGAAAGAAAATTCTAGACGTCTTTTTGTGTGATACTACATAGGATTATATTATTTGAAAGATTATTATCATAGATGTGAAGTACATACCGAAGTGAAAATAATTTTAACTTAAATAATATGACATAAAAAGACGTCCAAAATTCTCCTCTTTGAACTATTGAAAACCACTACTGTTGTCCATTTATTAAGGTTACAACTATCTCACTTTAAAACTGGCACAGACATTAGCACAAAAATTTTTCGAAGTTCATCATCGTTATTTGGAACTAGACGATTAAATATAAAAGACTGACATGAATGTCAACGAAAAGAACTACAAATACAATATAGGTATTCCTATCGAATCTGATAAACATTAATGAGAAATGCTTTTGGTACTAATTTTAATCCAATTCGTCAAACTAGAGCGAATTTCCAACTCACTTATAGTTTATATATGAATCTCAGAAGAATCCTTGTATTTTTATCTGAATAGAATTTTGAAATTAATTTTTCTTAACACAAAAATTAACCATAAAAATCGTACTCGAATCGAAATTTACTCTCATTGAGACGTTTAAAACATTAAAAAAAATATTGATTATATCTTGAACTCTTTGAGATGACTTTCGATTTTTATGATTAAGAACTATATTTTGAGAAAAAAAAGTAAATAAGTTTAGACATGGTTTTCTTTATTGAAATATGGTAAATATTAGAATAGTATATTCATAATATGCTCAAATAATATTTTTTAAAACTACGTAACAGATTATGTGATCCAGCACCATCTATCGTACTTAAATTACATAAGAATGTTTATGTAATACTGACGTAAATAAAAGAGTAGTCTTTCTCAAAACTAAAAAAAATACGAAAATTCTTGAAAAAAACTTTATTCAAGTTGAAATCTCTTTAACTTTGGCTTTTTTTTTCTTCGAAAAGTCACATATATTCTGAGTACTGATGATTATAATTATCCCATTGTATAAAGAAATTCAATGTTAATAACATAAACTTTTCAATTGGTACAAAATAAAAACAAAAAATATCATACCAGGTGCAGCACAAAGATCGACAACTCGTTTAACATTATCATTTAAAATATTAAATTCACTATTAATTTGTAAAAGTTTAAAAGCTGATCTTGCTCGAAGACCTTGTTCTTTTGCTAAACGATAATATATATCTCGTTTATCTTTTGTTGATTTACCCATCTGCAAAAAAAAGAAAAAGAAAACATTACCATCAAAATTTTATACACACGACAAAAAAAAGAAGAAAATAGTCTTTTCAGTTTTATTTAATTTAATGAGTTTTTTTTGAAGTAGCTTTAAGTTTAGGTCGTTCGAAAACTTGTTTAAGACCACCAGCATGTTCATTATAAAATTTCTTATTTGATTGTTTATCCGATGCCCATGGTGATTGAAATGATGTTGTATCTTGATCGACTAAATGTGTATATTTCGTACGACCAGCCATACCAAAATTTTTCACTTGCATTACTTTAGGTAGAACTGATTTATCAAAATGATCTTCAAGTGTTGGTGAACTATAATCTCGTTTATAGATATCATCATCTTTATCCTAGAAAAATAAAAATTAATATTAAATAAATAAATTCAATAGTGAATACAAACCATAAAGAATGCACCACGATGATAATATTTTTGTAGAAATTTATATTTTGCTTTTGGTACTTTATTTGCAATCATTTTTGGATTTTTTTTCAATTCAGCTTCTCGTTCTTCTTCTGTCATATTATGCCAACGTTCAAGTTCTTGTTGTTCACGTTCATGTCTTGAAAAAAAAAAACAAAACGACAAATTTTTATTTTTTTCATAGCTCGGAAAAGATTCTTAGCACAATGTCATGAAGACAAAATTGTGGAATTTACATGTGTTCTTTAGCCTTATTATATGAAATATGTCAAGTGAAAAATCTCTAACAGACTTTAGTTGTTTTCCAATGGTAATTAGTGACCAGGGATGCACGAAACTAATGTTAGTACCAGCCACGAACATATCCATGGAAAAAGAAGCAAGTCATCAACTGAATAAATCAAAAAAATAAGTATTAAAGACATTTTTGAAATATGATACTCAATAGACTGAAGTCGAACATTAAAAAAAATCTCGATCACGAACATCTGAAACTAATATTGATCATCTTTGAAATTTTTATTTACGTAAAAATTGTACTATTTTGAACATTCACAGACATATTCTAGTCACTCAAATTTCAAGACCGTTAAAATGTTCTAGATCAATATAAATCTGTCTATGAATTCAAACTTCGTCGATACTGTAACCTCTATAACTCTTAGCTGATTTTGCCACTTGTGAAAAGTCACAAAATAGGATGTGAATTCCGCAAAAAAATTGATTTCTTATTTTTCTTTTACTTACTGATCACGTTCTTCTCGATCGCGTTTTAATCGTTTAAGTTCACGTAATTTCCATGCATCATAAGCAGCTTCACCATCTTCATCGTCAGTATTAAAATCACATTGAATACCATCATCGACTTCTTTTTCTTTTAATCGTTCTTGTCGAATTGCTTCTTCAACTATCTATAGTAAAATAAGAAAAATAAGAATAATGTTTATATTTAATTTAACCTTTTGTGTTTGCATTTTTCGTTGATCAGCTAAACGTTTTTTTTCTATTTCTAATTGTAATTGACGTTTTTCTTCAGCTTCACGTTCAGCAACTGTACGACGATCAGTTCTAATAATATAAAAAAATAAATTTAATCATTGAATACACTACAGTTCAACTTATGCATTCCAAAACGAAATCTTCTATCTAATTATTCTTCTTCATTTTCGATATTGAAATTTCGAGCTTTTTAGAATAAAACAATTAGAAATACATTCGCGTTGGACATTCTTAAAGTCCGGTTGTTTCATTTTAGTATTTATTTTTTTAGTTTTCATATGATTATTAATTCTTGATGAACTTACTTTCTAACAAAAACCGGTTTTAATCTTGGTACACCTTCATCATCATCCTCATCTTCTTCGTCATCATCTTCACTTTCTGATTCTTCTGATGGTTCAATTTCTTCTTGTTCTGGTTCTTTTTCATCTTCAATTAGAAATAATTCCTACAAAAAAAATAGGAATTAAATTTCTTTATTTTTTCTTTTTTTAAATACTTCTATACTTCTTCTTTTTCTTTTGCTTTCATACGTAATCTTTGTCGACGTCGTTCAATTTCTTCTTCATCAAGTTCTTCATCATCATCAGATGATTCAATATCCATTTTAACTCGATTAGCTGTTATATTATCATCTGCATCCATTTTCTCTGGTTCTTCTTCTTCTTCTTCATCTTCCTCTTCGTCTGAACTTTGTTCTATAACTTCTGGTTCTATGATACTTCGATGTCGACTAATTCTACAATGAAAATATGAAATTGATTTTCTTTTTTTTTTTTGTGCATAAATGAACATACCGTTCATCATCACGAATATCATCTCGTGCTTGTAAACGACGAATACGTCGATCTTCTTGTTCGATACGATTAACTAAAATACAAAACGAATAATTTGAATTGTTTATTTTTTTTGAAATATATTTACTTGTTGATGTTTGTGGTTGTTCTTGTTCTAATTTTTCTTCTTCTTCTTCTTCATCACTAGCATGTAATGCATCTGCATAATCCGGTCTATAAATAAAAAAAAACAAATTTGAAACCCATAAAATATTCTTTTGTATAAAATAAACAAAAAAATAATAATTTTACCGTTTTCCAGCAATATATCGATGAACTTTGACTTTTTGTGTAACTAATTGTCCTTTAGCATTTCGTACACTAATTGCACCAGCAGTAGAAAGTGATGGTGCTTTAAAAAACCCTTCATCTATATCAATCATAATTGTAGCAGATGACAGATGGACGAACTTATGTAAAAGGAATGATTAAAATGAAATAAAGAAATTACTTCATGGACGGTTATAGCAATTGATCGAATAGGATGAAAACGTTTGTAGATGGCGTTGAATATCGTGCATCGTTTTTTATTTTGACATCCGTGCCATTCAGATTACGTTAGAGTCAGTGGCGTAGCCAGACATTTTTGAGTCATGGACAATTTATCAGCCGAACTATTTTGAGTTATGGACAGCTAAGGGCAACCGTTACGATTTCAAAAATATCTATGGGCAATAACTTTTCAAGCACTGCATAGCTCAATAAATCCATGGACAATAACTTTTGGAGCTATGGGCAATTGCCCAATGGCTCTACCTCTGGCTACGCCACTGGTTAGAGTTGACGACTGATCGATCCTAAAGGAAGATGAAGCAAAAATTTCTATAGAAAATACGTGCACTATTTTTCGCGTATTGAAATGCATTGGATAAGAGTAAGAATGTAGCAACTAATTAAAGATGTATTGAAAGAATACAAATTTTGATTATTATATACTACTTTTCACTTTTTTAACATGGAGTTCAATAGACAAAAAATAATCAAGGTTTTGACTAGAAATTTTCAATCTATCATTTCATTTTACAATATGATCATATGTTGGACAAGACTATAATGATACTCTACATTAATGTTTCCAATAGAAATCTAAAGCGAAACATCTTCTGACACTTAGCGTAGGTGGGCAATGTGTATGTTTACCTTTTGTTTTCTTCGACGAAGTATACAAAAATAATAAGTTATATTTGCATTTCTTTTTTCAATGAAAATTCCTAAGGGGTAAGTACATCTGCTAAGTTTATCATTTGAGAGATTTACAAGACAATAAATAACAAAAGCGGGAAGAGTTCACGGTTTTTGGTATTGAACAGATTTTCAGCAACGTGTATTTCAGAAGTAACAGGTGATTTGTAGATTTTTCTTCTGTTTGCTATACCTTCAGTTGGAAACACTACTTACGCATCTATTGTACAAACGGTCAAGAGAACGACAAAAAAAAATAGTTTTTTGTAGCGGCACCTATCAGAAAATTCCTTTCTGTATTTTCCACATTTATTTTTGATTGTTATAACTTGAGAAAAAAATGTATAATCCTTAACAAAAATCATATTATCAGCTCATTTAACGATGCAATCTGATATCGTCACAGAACTATCGATTAATCACGATTCACCAGTAGGATCAGTGAAACGACCGTAAGGTGATAAAATCTTCAACAAATTGACGATGTAGATATACTTGCCAATGTACTTGTATATAGATAAGATAAAATTATTTTTGATATGAGTTTCACAGTAATAAGTATAAACTTTAAATGACAAATAAAAGTAAGGTCGAAAACGAATTTCAATATATTCCACCGAAAAATGATTTTAAAGGTTTAATAATTGCTTTTATTATTTTTCTTTTATTTATTCTATTTTGGTATCATGCTTTATTTCAAATTAAATTTACAAAAACAAGTTGGTTTGATATTATGGGAACATTTTTTATTTTGGAATTTTTATATACAGGATTATTCATTACTTGTCATGATGCTATGCATGGTGTAATTACTCATCGTGTGAGTTCTCATAAAATATAGAGAAGAAAAAAAGAATTAATCCTATATAGCTATCAATAAAACGAATATCGGAATTTTTAAAGCGTTAGAATAAATACTTTCATGTGTTAATATATAAGTAATACAAAATTTTATAAGAATATAATGTATGATTGATTAACATCTTTCGAGGATCTTTTAAGGAATAGCACATTGAATAAATACTGTTTGAACATGGATATCTTTTTATTTTTTTGTTCTTGGAATAAAAAAAAGTCAGAATATAGAAAATACCTTAGGAAACGCATGGTTTTGTTAGAGCTACCAAAAACCAGCAGGGCAATTTCTTTGAAACAAAATAAAAACATAATACTCATTCTAAACAGTATTTAGTATGTATAAAAAAAGAATTTCAGCTTGGTCAAACACAAAAAATACTTAGTAGATAGATACTACTTCAGTCTATACAGTGGCCACAAAAAACAAAAATTCTGAGACACAAAAGAGTAAGGAACTATCCTTCAATACTCTTATTTATAGTAATGATGAATGTTAGAATCGTATTGTTGATTAAAATCAATTTTACTGTAATGCTTATTTTAGTATCGACGATTAAATTATGTTATTGGTTATGTTTGTTTTTCTGCATATGCTTGGTTTGATTATCGTTATATGTATGAAAAACATTGGCGTCATCATAAACATACAGGTATTGTTAATGATGATCCTGATTATCATAATGGTCGATCTATAGGATTTTTTTCTTGGTATTTGCATTTTTTATGGGAATATGCTTCTATTAAACAAGCCATTAAAATGACTATATGGGTTTCTACTCTTTTATTAATATTTTCTGTTCCACTTATTAATATTCTTACATACATGTTAATATGTGGATTATGTAGTTCATTTCGTTTATTTTATTTTGGTACTTATATTCCACATCGACCAGAAATGATCAATGGAAAATTTGAAAAAACGATGCCATGGGAAAAATCAAAATCATCAAATTTAAATCGATTGATTAGTTTTTTATGTTGTTATCATTTTGATTATCATTGGGAACATCATCGATGGCCGTATGCACCTTGGTGGGATTTATGGAAATGCAAAGAAATTATGAAGAAAATGAATCATTTATGATGCACAGTATTTTTTTTTTGTTGAATATCATATATAATAAAAAAAGAGATATATCTTGAAAGTAAACTAAAATCAATACGCTTGTCTATAATTTTATAAAAATCGAAAAAAAGAAAAAGAAAATATCGTTTGCTGATTAATGTGTAGCATTTAATATTTATCACTTAAATAAATATCTAGATTCTATTTATGTTTTTCTGTAGTCGATTCGATCACAACAGTACCAAACCATGCTTTCTTTGGAAAAAGAATAATAAGTCGACCGATAACTACCAATAGAATAACAATAGCAAAACCTATTGATAAAAATGTTCGATGTTTAGTAGAAATTAATAGACTGGCAAGAAATATTTCACTGCTCAATAAACCCCAATAGAGAAACCGACGAACATGTATCAAACCAGCCGTCAATGTCGGTGTATTATATTTTGATGGAATAGCAGCAAACATTAAGCCACTTATAACTAAAATCCATGAATTCCACCAAGAAAGTATATGAGTAGCCAATGAAGTTATTTCATTGTCAGGTTTAAGAAGAAGAGCAAGAAATGTTGATGGATAAAGAAAGACAAAAAGAATAAGACCAAGATTTGCAGTAGCTTCAGCAAAGAAAAGAATACGAATAGGTTTATCATTAATCAAACGAAGATCTTTTATATCATCAAGTGAAGTTTGTCGTGCCATTGACTTTTGATTCTAAATATGAAGAAAACTAAATAGAAATATATTTCTTTTATTATGATATGAAATTAAATTTCTATATAGTATTTTTGGCAAGGGAAAAACAGAATTAAAAAAATCCTCTCTCTTGTTGTATAATCCGACAATTTTATTGCGTCATGGTCAAGAACAAAAGAATCTTTGGCTTTATTCTAAAAAAAAGTCAAGATATTATTTTATTAAAGACATTCGCTTGATAAAACGTCAGATAAAAAGGTCATAGAAAGCGAACTTAGCATGTGAGCTATACAGGACAGGGATGTTGCTTACTTTTTATAGGAAGAAAATGAACCAATCGGACATAGGTCTAGATTTTACTGTATCCATCCATCCATCGACTTTTCTTCTTTCATGTCATTGACAGGTAGACTCAACGAATCATAGTGTTCAAAAAAATTTACTGAGGATACTTGATCATTTTTTCAATCAATAGGAGTAAATTTGTTTATTCATGATAAAGATGTACTAAAAAACATGTACAAGAACGAGTATTGTTTTCAACGGTAATTTCAACTAAAAGATTTCTTTTATTGAAGCTGATATTAATTTGTCATTCGCATACCAACAATGAATTTCCTGACGTGTCTTTCAAATAAAACGATAGCTTGTTCAAACAAAAAAAAGGATCTCATTTTCTTTTTTTTCTAACCGAATATTTATACAAAACAAACTGTTTAATTGTAATGAATTTTGTACAAATAGGTTTCAATTCTAGTAGGGTAAACAAAGCTTCCATCCGATCATGTAACTCTTATTAGTTCGAAGAGCAGGTAATAGCTAAATTTTCTCATGTGCATTAAATGTAATGATCAAGTTCTTTCATAGGAAATGAAGTTATTGAACTTTTTAGATTAGCTTGATCAAGTAAAATCAATATATTAGTATCTTCAGCTATAACTATAAGGCCTGACCACCAGATATTAGATGACACAAAAAGAGCTGATTCGTAGCTCTAAATCGCTTGAGTTTGACTTGCTTGCCAAGTTTTTACTTAGCTCGCATGGCCTGCTAACGAGGGAACACACATAACTATTAAATCGCTTTTAAAGTTTTAGTCATGCCAATTTGTAGAACTTGTTTAGTTATCAACTAATATAATAATCATTCGGACTCATGGCGTGTTTAAGGATAAGTTTCTGATAATCAAAGTCTGTATGAATCTGTATATACCATATATGCACATGTTTAAAAAGATAAAATGGTTTTTCTAATTTTTTGAATTTCTTAATCATTTGATCACTATATAAAAGTGTGACAAAATCTTTGCTGCATTAGTATTGCATTTACATATATTTAACAATGTTAGGTAGCATCACCATTTATGCATCATCTCTCTCTTTCGCTCATTGTCATAACATCATGTATATTTCGACGAATTGTCAGAGTGACTGTCTCCCTTTTTCGACACGATGGTCTCTTGGGTCATTTGCACACTCACAACTGTGCCTCTTCTTTTATTAAATATACATGGTATAGGAGAAACAGTGATCACACATGAGAGAACAAAGAGAGAAGCAGAGAAGGTCAATGATTGAGGAAGAGATCACAAAGGTGAAACATAATGGTCAATAACTGCTACATATATGTATGTATTCCATTCATAGTCTCTTTCGTGCTGTTGTCATACATGAATGCATATATGAACGTTGAAGTGCATTCTTTGTCTCTCTCTTTATATTGATTATGTATGTTCTATCGTATTTTCTAATAAGTTCTTCCTTACCTATTATGTACTATAGAAGTCTTTTCCTTTTCCTGCTCTTGTATATATATCTATAGTGTCTCTTAAAAGTAGTAACAAATAATATTCATCAACAAAAAACAGGGCTCTTTCATGAATATAATTCAATTATAAGTCTGAAAACGTATCCTGTAAATATAGAATATCATTTGTTTTTTAAAGTTCAACAGAATTATAATTTCAAAGCAGAATATTTATTAATTGATGCTGGAAATGAAAAAGTAGGTGAATTATTTGACTTTTTTTGAAGAAATTATTTCAAGTTATAATTTAATAATTGAAATAGAACACTCACTCGATTTAAGCAAAAATGAAAGTGCATCAGAAAGTGCTGATGATTATGAAGATTTTAAACATCCAGAAAAATGTAAATATAGTTATGAAAAAATGAAAGAAATTGCCGAGAAAAATGAAAAACAGACTTTCAATACATTAAGACATCGATATAGAAAAATAAAACATCCAGCAGAAGTATCACGGATAAAAAGATATGTTGCAAAGGGTAGTACTGATTTTCAAAAATATGAAATAATCAGAGATTTCGTTTTGGCAACAGTTTCAATTAACAAGAAGCACACATTTACCAGTTAAAGATGATAATCTTAAACGATGGGGTTTACAAAAGTCAAAAGAAATTAAATTAGAAAATTTAACTGAAAGTTCTGAATGGATTAGATGATTCAAAATTAGTAAGAATCTTTATCCACGTAAAGTCATAAAAGTTGTCTCATCAAAATACGAAATAGATAGTGATAAAATACTACAACAAGGCTGCGATTTTGTGAAAAATGCATCCAAAACATTAGCGAATTTTGACCGAAGTATAATTGTAAACAGTGATAAAAGTAGATTTAATTATGAATTGCACTCAAACAGAACATTGAGTTTTACTGGCGAAAGAGATACCGTAGGTGATATTGATTCTTTAAATGCAACAACTCATAGTTATACTGTGTAGCCAACTTCAAATTCCAACGGTCATTTTATCGGTAAATGTTTGTTGGTATTTCAGAAGCTTAATGACAATTTTGATGTCAATGTTGAAAAAAGTCTGTTTCAGCCAAAAAAATTTATTAATACAATGTTCCAGTTCTGGTAATATCAGAAACTTACCCTTAAACATGCCATGGGCCCGAATAATTATTATATAAGTTAATAACTAAACACGTCTTACAAATTGGCATGACTAAAAATTTAAAAGCGATTTAACAGTTCTGTGTGTTCCCTCGTTAGTAGAAAATACACTCTTAAGTATTCGCAAAAGCTTTCGTATGAAGAGTTTCGAATACAATCACCATTTATTCGATATTATTATTTCTTGCAAAATTCCTGATATTTTCTTTATCGCCTTTGATAATCATTGGGAATTAATCAAGTTTTATACGTGGCAAAATCTTAAAGGAAAAAAACAAGTCCTTCACATTCGTTTCTATTATTTGCAAAAAAGTAGTCTTTTATTCTGATAAAGAACCTTGTTTGGTATTTTGTGGAACTCATATATATTTTCGAAGAAAATAGTGAGTGCAAGTTTTAAGTTCAAAGTTTCGCAACTCTTCCCTCTCCCTCCCCTTACAGATAGGCCTGACCATTATAGACAGGCCCCCATTACATACAACCCCGTTACAGACACTTCCCATCACAGACTGTACCAACTTCGCCAAAAAATAATGTCTGTTCGAAATATAGAGATAAAAAGCTTATTAGCGCAGCTCCTTTGGGGCTGAAATGTAGAACTCACGTATCTTCTTTGATTTCATTATACTAATCACCAAATACCCAATATTTAAATTCTCCAAAAGATAATAGTTCTTCACTAATAATAAACGATTATCAGAAAACGCTCTCTTTTTTATCCCTATATTTCGAACAGACATTTATTCTTTTTTTTTGGCGAAGTTGCTAACATCTGTAATTGGGAGTATCTGTAACGGAGGTGTCTGTAATAGGGGCCTGTCTTTAAGGGGGTGGGGGGCAGGAGGCGCGAAACCTTGAACTTAAAACTTACACTCACTATTTTCTTCGAAAATATATGTGAGTTTCACAAAAAGACAGCGTTTTCTAATAATCGATTATTACTAGAAAAGAAATAATTATTATCTTTTGGAGAATTTAACTATTGGGTATTTTGTGATTAGTAAAATGAAACCAAAGAAGATATGTGAGTTTCACATTTCAGCCCCAAAGGAGCTGCGCTAACAAGCTTTTCTTTCGGTATTCATTGAAGGAATGATGCTTTCCCTTATGAAGGGAGTCGCTTTGACAACAACGATAATTCTTTTTCTTGTTCATAGTAGTATTTCCGAATATTTCAGTCAATGCCAGATGGGCACAGAATAAAGTGACTGTTGCTCAAAGCCCTTGGTATAGCAGTCGCACCAATGAACTCAGGAACTCCCATGATTTCTTCATTGATGATGATCAAATCATGGTCATTGTTGACCGTTCGAATCATAGTGTCGCCCGATGGAATATGGGTGATAAGAAGGAAAAAGTGGTCGCTGGTAGTAATGGCACAGGAAAGCGATTGAATCATCCAACTGATGTGCTAATCGACAAAGAGATGGATAGTCTCATTATCTGTGATAACTGGAATTAACGAATCGTACAATGATTTCGTCGTAGGGGCACTACTCAAGGAGAAATCCTCTTCGATAACATCAATTGTGAAGGATTGCCGATGGATGATCAGAGATATCTCTACATGTCTGACGGCAACAAAAATAAAGTAAGACGATATCAGTTAGGAGACAAGAATGGAACTCTCCTAGCCGGTGGCCATGATTATGGTGCTGATCTCAATCAATTCTGCCGCCCAAACTACATCTTTGTTGATCAACAACAGGCTGTCTACGTGCCAGACTGCAACGATCATCGTGTGATGAAATGGAATAAGGATGCAACAAAAGGAATGGTCGTCGCTGGAGGTCAAGGCGAAGGAAATGATATGACACAATTATTGCATCCTAAAGGACTGTTCGTCGCACATTGGGTATGGTCTATGTGGAAGACTGGCGAAATCATTGAGTGATGTGTTGACCTAAAGAAGCGAAACAGGGCACTGTCATCGCGGGTGTAAATGACTCTGGAAATGGAGTTAATCAGTTGCTCTAGCTCGAGAATTTGTCCTTCAATCGATATGGCAATTTCTATATCGTCGTACTCAACGTTTCGATATCGAATAAACTCCAAAAAATGATTAATTAATTTTTTGTCGATCTCTTTC